AGAGAGAGAGAGAGAGAGAGAGAGAGAGAGAGAGAGCTGTAATAGTACTGACTGTGGGTTCATCGAGGATGAGAAGGGGAGGATTATTGATGAGAGCGATGGCCAAAGAGACGCGACGTTTCTGACCGCCGGACAGATTGTCGACAAACTTGTTCTCGAGATGTGATAACTCAAGCAATTGTAATAAGAAATGCATTCGTTTATTAAATAATGTGCGATCGGTATTACAAAAGCCGGCGTAATATCTGAGGGTCTCTTTGATTGTGAACTGCGATATTAGCGCCAATTCTTGCGGCATATATCCAATGCCCGGACCTTTCGTATCAAACATATAATACAGACATATTTAACATAATTATTTGATTTATTAAAGTTTGTGGTCTCTAATTATGAATGCATACCTGGAATACCACTTTCACCAGTTCCTGTAATTTAAATAAATAAATGCAAATATTAGTCCAAAATGCATAAAATCAATGACTGGTTTTTCTCAATATAAATACGGATATCAATCGAGAATATGTTTTAAAAATTAAATTAAATTAAAATATTTTACGATATATTTATTAAATTTATTGTTTGCGCAAATAATGTTTTGATAATTTTAATAATCATTTTTATAGTGTTATTGTGTTTATTGGCATTTAAATTATGTTAAAAATGCGTTTAATATTTATTGTATGAATTTTTTAATCTCGTTTGATTGAAAATGAAAGAGTTATTCATTAAGGTTGCGATGAAATTGATTGCATTGAATACAATAATTCATGCTTTTATTATACGAGAGTGTGATTTAAAATAAATAAATAATAAAATCATTTCATTATAATAAACAACGAGTTCATTATAATTCTCATTTATTGGTTCAGTTGTCAATATATTTTAAAAAATATTATTGAATTCATTGTTTGTTTAATAAGTTTAGTAGAAAAAGGGATTTTTAGTACAAAATATTTGACACAAAAGCAATAAAACTCATCGATAGAGGATATAATATATGTGAAAAAATAATGAATTTAATATATTTATTATATTAAATACACGAACAAACTGTTATCATAAGTGAATAAATTACAAACAATTTAATATTTCCGATGATATGATTGATATCTAGTATTTGATGTTCAGTTAAGAGCCGGTAATGACTGGTAAAGAATCAGATTCACTAAAAAGTGATTGCAATTTCGGCTCAAACTACTCATTACAGGCCATAGAAAGCCAATACTTTACAGATTATCACTCAATTTGATACAAATTCAAATTAAGTGCAAATCTAAAAGTTGCCAAAAATTCTAACCCATATTATATAATGAAAACCTTTGTATTATAGATATTGTGATTTTGAAAAATGCCAATAATTGATGCACTATTTGATTACGTGATCGGATTTCGATGTCAAATAACTTTCATGTTTGTCGCCATAAATATTAATTGTGTAACAATTATAGCCTTAATCTCGAAATCAAACATAAATTTTAGAGTTCAAAAAACACTTGAAAACGTTATTCCCATTTATTTATATTAAAAATTAAATATTTGTTTGGACTTTAAGCTACATTTGTTGGCAAATAGGCATCACATTATTATTTGCCAAAAACTAATGTATAATCTATTGATATATCAATTGTGTGACAAAGACCGCGATTGTCAGAGCGGTTCCAACTCATCTATACTTGTTTTCATATAATATAACCAAGGGCGTTTTAATTAGCAGGTCATTAAATGTCCAAGTTACATTACTTTAAAATACTACCGTTTTAGAGTATTTCTATTGAGGACTATGTATAACAGCCCCTATTTTTACCCCTTTATAAATATGTGTTTACGTTAAAAATGTAGTTAATGTGCGTTTATTACTGCCATTTAATGCCCCGCTATTGGAAACCTTGAAGTGTTATATCCGGAGATTATATTCAAGAATAACTTGAAAATTAATTTTTTCAGTCAATTGTCCCCAAAAACTAATACTAGAAATGTCTCGTGTTTTCAGAGAATAGACAGAAAAGTCATAATTTATATAATTATAGCGAAAAGGTCTGCAAAAAACAATTCCTAATAACTTTATAAAAAATAATTAAAATATGTATACATTTAATGATAAAAAACAATTACATAAACAACAACTGCAACCAAAAAAATGACATTTATTTTCAATTAAAACACAAACATTATGTCAATGACTAATAAAGATTCTCAAAAAGTTTATTTAAATATACAATTTGTCGGTTAAACAAATACTTTGAGACTTTGGGGCAAACGATTCACATAATAAGCATCATTTTTAACCATGTTTTATATTACATATAAATAAACACGGTTTACACATATGAATATAATATATGGCTTTAAGCGCATTAACTTAAGACCATTTCATTATGCATTGCATGAAAAACCCGTCAGAAAAGGATAATTGCTATAATGTTTGGCAGTGTTTTTGCAGCATTTGCTGCAACTTTGGTGGCAATAGTTTTAAATTTAGAAATTAGGGTTTTTTGCTTAAATACAATATCGCAGTCAATTGTAACAACACTTTGTAGTTTACATAATATATTAAATATTATATTAATTTTATAGTAAATATATTTACCAATACTTTTACATTATTTATTTGGCCGTCGAAATATGTATTTACTATGGTCAAATACTGCATACAATATTTACAAACTTTTACTTTATTATTTATTTTTTTATTTTAAATATTAACCTATAAATTATTTAGTTTTATAATGTCTAAAATTAAATATTTGTGTTTATGTACAGTATTGACCAAATTACAAAAATAATTAAAACTAATTTAAATCATGTGATTATATTTTTCACAAAAAAATGACCATTAAAAAATTTAAAAATACAGTTTTCGATAAATTATAACATTTCTAAATGTCTTATAATTGATGGCAAACTAAATGTATTCTTAAGTGATTTAAACGATTGCATATTTTAGAGTTTAGATATTGTTTTGACTCAAAACCACTACATTGTAGTTTCATTTAGACCCAAATTTTTAAATATTTGCAAGTGATATATGTATTAAATGTAAAATAAAACTTTGTTAAAATGGTGTTTATTATATGATTCTTTTGCCCCAAAGTCTCAAAGTTATATACATTTATTTAACCAACAAATATATTTATTAGACATTTATATACATTCTATCTTATATTTGATTGTGAGGTTAAATGCTTGGTCTGATTTTATTAACTCATGATGATAATTTTATTAAATATAAAAATAAAAATATATTTAAGCCATTAAGTTTGTTATACTTTAAATTAATATAAATATTTTGTGGATGCTCACACAATTAAGTAATTATCATTAAACAATTTATAAATTATTTAAGTAGTTTTTAACTTCTTATTAATAAATATTATAAAACATATTTGCTTAATGAATAAATACATGTATAAAATAATTACAGAAAATAAATACTAAATACCTTTTTAATATATCATACAATTTCCGAGAAATTAAACAAAAAATAGAAACTAAATGACTATATATTTGGCATTTGTCATAAGTCGGGACAATAAATACCTGGCTGTGTGTCAAAGACGCGGACGAGTCCTTTCCTGGGCTTCAATCGGCCGATAATACACCGCAAAAGTGTAGTCTTTCCGCAACCGCTGGGCCCGAGTAGGCCATAGATGACCCCTCGGGGCACACATAGGTTCGCGTCCTGGATCTCGGGTTTGCCGCTCCTGTTGTAACCGAAGCACAGATTCTGTACGACAACGCCTTCCCCTCTATTAATACCATTTATTTCCATATTTATTACACTTTTTTGTACACTATTTGGTTGTTGTATAAGTTTTGAGTCAAAATGATATTTCACTTCTCACTCACACACAAAACACTCTCTCGAAGACTCTTCTTGTGAGTGAAATATTATCTAAACATAATATTAATATTTATAATTGACTTATGATTTTTGATTTGAAATATAATATCCAATAATCATAATTCAAGAACTCCTGTACGATATGTAGGATAACTATTAGTATACTGTACTTATAGTACGAGAACTTTAAATACGGAGACTTTTGTGTGAAGAGAGAGTACGCGAGAGACTACAGCATTGCAGCACTGTTTGCAACTAAACCTCTCTCAGAAACACTGGTTTAGCACTTCATACCATTCATGCCATTCATACGCGCATTGCATTGACTGCATTGACTGTCCCACTGTTAACCACAGTTAATACAGATGCTGTACAACCACTACAACCAGCGCTACCAATACTGTTCATCAAAATATTAACCGAAGAGTTGAACTCATAATTCAATTATATTATCATTAAATATGTTGTTTTGTCATCTCTCTCTCTCTGTCTCTCTCTCTCTCTCTCTCTTAATATTTACTTCCTTTCTCTCTTTGGCCTCAAATCTCTCGTCTCTGATGTCTGTAATTAATTAAATTTTGTTTTGTTTGTCATTGATTTGTCCGATAGGTTGGTGTGGATCCTATACTCAGGGAATGTATTTGGAATTATTTGGTGCAGATTAGCAAAGAAGGACTGACGGTATGGTAATTGTTATATCATTTATATTACATTATATTTACATCATTAAAGCATTTAGTTTTGTTTAAACATAGAGTTCAGTGAGAAATACAAATATTATATTTTGCACTTAAATGATAGACAAAACGTTTTGGGAAACCAATTATGAATTGCAATCATTCATGTGTTTGTATTGCCCTAACTCTGGAAGTGTTCACTCACTTCCAGTATTGATTTGTGTGACCAAAGCTGTCATATATGCGATGACTGATAAGATTTGCAATTATTTTTTAAAAATAATATCTATCTTTAACTCTTTGGCCAAAGAAAAAAAGATATTTATTTCATAATTAATTATCAGTTATTAGAGTGATTGCGAAATAAGTCATTGCAATGAGTTTTAATAATAGAGTTTATGCATAAACTTACCGTAAAATATGTGCAAAATGCGTGAAAAGCTCGTGAGAAATGCAAATCACGGCATAAAACCTTAGAAATGAAGGGAAGGAGAACTCTAGGTTTAATAGACGACCGTCGAGATAGGAAATGGAGAGAGAGAGAGAGAGAGAGAGAGAGAGAGAGATGACAAAACAACATATTTAATGATAATATAATTGAATTATGAGTTCAACTCTTCGGTTAATATTTTGATGAACAGTAGAGAAGATATTAAGATATGGAGTCTTAAGAACTGTGTGTTTATCTCAATGTTTATACAAAAACTTCTTTTCCCTCAAATGATATGGAAATCTGTTTCCATGCACTCGACTCCACACACTTAGGGATGTATTGTAATGAATAGTCAAATGCATTCATTAGAGACACACATCTATGGAGTGTTTGAGACCAAAAGTTCATCAAATAATTTCATCAATCAATTCATTTGCACTTTACATATGAATAGAAAGCATTCTTCGGCTAAAATCAATGCATTCAATGAGGGTTTTGTGTGAAATAAATTAGAGGTTTGACTGATGTGTACAACTCTATCATGAAATTTGAGCCCAAAGTGTA